ACTTTATTTTTCTCTCTAAATTACTGTGTTCACAACAAAATTATTGTCTGAGATTGTAATATTGAATACCAAAATAGTAATATTACTAATATTACTGTCCCAAAAAGTTATATTATTGTCCCAAACATTAATATTACTATCCCGAACAGTAATATTATGAATATTGCTTTTCCGAACAGTGATATTACTAATATTATTGTCCAAAACAGTAATATTATTGCATGAGACAGTAATATTACGGTCGAAGACAGCAAAATTGCACGTCAAGACGATAAAATTAATTAATACAACAAATTATTGTCTTAGACGGTAATATTATTGTCTCAAACAGTTAAATTACTGTCTCCGATAGTTAAATTACTGTTGGAGACAGTTATTTAGCAACCAAGACAGTAATATTAATTAAATATTTTTTTTAAGAAAAAACAAGTTTTCAAAAAAAAAAAAGTTAACGCCGGTTACTGCGGTGGCGGGTCAAAATTGATTAGTTGGGCTAAACTGAGGTGTAAATCATGAAATTGGAGTTGAATTAGGATTTCAAGGAATTGGGCCTAATTTTTGTATATATAAAAGAGTTTTCCTTATTTGCAAATAAGTTTGAATGAGGTGGATTTATTTGCAAGACAAAAAAATTGATGTTCTTTTTTTAATTAAGTGTTTTTTTTTTTGAGAGAAAACGAAGATATTATTAGGCACTATCGGCCAAAATAGTGGGAAGGCTAATTCCTTCCATGGAGTCCAAAGATGGTGACGAAGCTAGATAATGAGCGAGGCTATTGCCTTGTCTCTTTACAAACGAAAAGGTGCAAAACGAAAAACAACTCAAATAAGAAAAACATTCCTCTACGATCGCCCCATATGACTGCAAACTAGGTTCCCGTTTTTGGAGAGCTTCTATCACTAGAAGACAATCACTTTCCACCGTGATAGCATTCCATTGCCGAAATTTAGCTGTGCGTAGAGCTTGAAGAATGGCATGGGCCTCACCTTCAGATGGGCTCACCATGCCCAATACTCGTCGGACTTGCCACCATACACATGTTCCTGTTGCGTTTCGAGCTATCAAGGAGACGCGGTGAAATTCTGAGTTTGGTGGGAAGGCCGCGTCTACATTAAGTTTAAGAACCCCAATAGGCGGCGGTGTCCATGTTTGCGAGAATTCCGGCCGCCGAACATTGTTATGCTGTAATTGGGCGTCGTCATATGTCCGGAGATACGCTGCGCACCACCCAACCATGTCCTCCAGGTTAATGAAATCTTCTTGGTGAATAATCTTGTTTCTACGTTCCCACAATTTCCAACAAACGACGATGGCAAGGTGCAGTTTGTCCGGATCCAGTTCCCGCTTGAGAATATCAAGCCAATTCCAAAACGACAAATTCTCGGCTATAGGCATAACGTGAAAAGGTGCACTCTCCCACACGTGATTCACACCCATGCATCCCGCCACGACATGTAGAATAGATTCAATTTTACTGCCACAATATTGGCAAAAGGGAGAGGTGGAGATTTTCCGTCGATAAAGTTCCAAGTTTGTCGGAAGAGAGTTAGAGCAAGCGCGCCACAAGAAAATCTTGATTTTCGGTGGGATGTCAAAATGCCAGATCTTTTTCCAATTGTGGGCTGGTACACCGCTCGAGGTTCCATTATGTGGGTTACGGCTCGATTCCAAAATCGCATGGTAACAAGATCGCACCGTG